GACCCTAGTCTCAGTGAGAAGACATTGGATCATTATTGTTTTAGACCCTAGTCTCAGTCAGCATTAAGTGGATCACCATGGTTTTACACCCTAGTCTCAGTGAGGAGACGTCAGTAGATCACCATGGTTTTAGACCCTAGTCTCAGTGAGAAGTCAGTGGATCACCATGGTTTTAGACCCTAGTCTCAGTGTGAGGTCGGTGGATCACCATGGTTTTACACCCTAGTCTCAGTGAGAAGTCAGTAGATCACCATGGTTTTAGACCCTAGTCTCAGTGAGTAGTCCGTGGATCACCATGGTTTTAGACCCTAGTCTCAGTGAGTAGTCCGTGGATCACCATGGTTTTAGACCCTTTTTTCAGTGAGAAGTCCGTGAATCACCATGGTTTTAGACCCTAGTCTCAGTGAGAAGTCAGTGGATCACCATGGTTTTACACCCTAGTCTCAGTGAGAAGTCAGTAGATCACCATGGTTTTAGACCCTAGTCTCAGTGAGTAGTCCGTGGATCACCATGGTTTTAGACCCTAGTCTCAGTGAGTAGTCCGTGGATCACCATGGTTTTAGACCCTTTTTTCAGTGAGAAGTCCGTGGATCACCATGGTTTTAGACCCTAGTCTCAGTGAGAAGTCAGTGGATCACCATGGTTTTAGACCCTAGTCTCAGTGAGTAGTCCGTGGATCACCATGGATTTAAACCCTAGTCTCAGTGAGAAGTCAGTAGATCATCATGGTTTTAGACCCTAGTTTCAGTGAGAAGTCCTTGGATCACCATGGTTTTAGACCCTAGTCTCAGTGAGAAGTCAGTGGATCACCATGGTTTTAGACCCTAGTCTCAGTGAGAAGTCAGTAGATCACCATGGTTTTACACCCTAGTCTCAGTGAGGAGACGTTGGATCACCATGGTTTTAGACCCTAGTCTCAGTGAGTAGTCCGTGGATCACCATGGATTTAGACCCTAGTCTCAGTGAGTAGTCCGTGGATCACCATGGTTTTAGACCCTTTTTTCAGTGAGAAGTCAGTAGATCACCATGGTTTTAGACCCTAGTCTCAGTGAGAAGTCAGTAGATCACCATGGTTTTAAACCCTAGTTTCAGTGAGGAGACGTCAGTAGATCACCATGGTTTTATACCCTAGTCTCAGTGAGTAGTCCTTGGATCACCATGGTTTTAGACCCTAATCTCAGTGAGAAGTCCGTGGATCACCATGGTTTTAAACCCTAGTTTCAGTGAGGAGACGTCAGTAGATCACCATGGTTTTAGACCCTAGTCTCAGTGAGAAGTCAGTGGATCACCATGGTTTTACACCCTAGTCTCAGTGAGGAGACGTCAGTAGATCACCATGGTTTTAGACCCTAGTCTCAGTGAGAAGTCCTTGGATCACCATGGTTTTAGACCCTAGTCTCAGTGAGAAGTCAGTGGATCACCATGGTTTTAGACCCTAGTCTCAGTGAGAAGTCAGTAGATCACCATGGTTTTAGACCCTAGTCTCAGTGAGGAGACGTTGGATCACCATGGTTTTAGACCCTAGTCTCAGTGAGTAGTCCGTGGATCACCATGGATTTAGACCCTAGTCTCAGTGAGTAGTCCGTGGATCACCATGGTTTTAGACCCTTTTTTCAGTGAGAAGTCAGTAGATCACCATGGTTTTAGACCCTAGTCTCAGTGAGAAGTCAGTAGATCACCATGGTTTTAAACCCTAGTTTCAGTGAGGAGACGTCAGTAGATCACCATGGTTTTAGACCCTAGTCTCAGTGAGTAGTCCTTGGATCACCATGGTTTTAGACCCTAATCTCAGTGAGAAGTCCGTGGATCACCATGGTTTTAAACCCTAGTTTCAGTGAGGAGACGTCAGTAGATCACCATGGTTTTAGACCCTAGTCTCAGTGAGAAGTCAGTGGATCACCATGGTTTTACACCCTAGTCTCAGTGAGGAGACGTCAGTAGATCACCATGGTTTTAGACCCTAGTCTCAGTGAGGAGACCTTGGATCACCATAGTTTTAGACCCTAGTCTCAGTGAGAAGTCAGTAGATCACCATGGTTTTACACCCTAGTCTCAGTGAGAAGTCAGTAGATCACCATGGTTTTAGACCCTAATCTCAGTGAGGAGTCCGTGGATCACCATGGTTTTAGACCCTAGTTTCAGTGAGAAGTCCTTGGATCACCGTGGTTTTAGACCCTACTCTCAGTGAGTAGTCCTTAGATCACCATGGTTTTAGACCCTAGTCTCAGTGAGTAGTCCTTGGATCACCATGATTTTACACCCTAGTCTCAGTGAGAAGTCAGTGGATCACCATGGTTTTAGACCCTAGTCTCAGTGAGTAGTCCTTGGATCACCATGGTTTTACACCCTAGTCTCAGTGAGGAGACGTCAGTAGATCACCATGGTTTTAGACCCTAGTCTCAGTGAGAAGTCAGTGGATCACCATGGTTTTAGACCCTAGTCTCAGTCAGCATTAAGTGGATCACCATGGTTTTAGACCCTAGTCTCAGTGAGTAGTCCTTGGATCACCATGGTTTTAGACCCTAGTCTCAGTGAGAAGTCAGTGGATCATCATGGTTTTAGACCCTAGTCTCAGTGAGAAGTCAGTGGATCACCATGGTTTTACACCCTAGTCTCAGTGAGAAGTCAGTGGATCACCATGGTTTTAGACCCTAGTCTCAGTGAGAAGTCAGTGGATCACCATGGTTTTACACCCTAGTCTCAGTGAGAAGTCGGTGGATCACCATGGTTTTAGACCCTAGTCTCAGTGAGAAGTCAGTGGATCACCATGGTTTTAGACCCTAGTCTCAGTGAGAAGTCAGTGGATCACCATGGTTTTAGACCCTAGTCTCAGTGAGAAGTCAGTGGATCACCATGGTTTTAGACCCTAGTCTCAGTGAGTAGTCCTTGGATCACCATGATTTTACACCCTAGTCTCAGTGAGAAGTCAGTGGATCAACATGGTTTTAGACCCTAGCCTCAGTGAGAAGTCAGTAGATCACCATGGTTTTATACCCTAGTCTCAGTGAGAAGTCAGTAGGTCACCATGGTTTTACACCCTAGTCTCAGTGAGTAGTCTTTGGATCACCATGGTTTTACACCCTAGTCTCAGTGAGGAGAAGTCGGTGGATCACCATGGTTTTACACCCTAGTCTCAGTGAGAAGTCAGTGGATCACCATGGTTTTAGACCCTAGTCTCAGTCAGCATTAAGTGGATCACCATGGTTTTAGACCCTAGTCTCAGTGAGTAGTCCTTGGATCACCATGATTTTACACCCTAGTCTCAGTGAGAAGTCAGTGGATCACCATGGTTTTAGACCCTAGTCTCAGTCAGCATTAAGTGGATCACCATGGTTTTAGACCCTAGTCTCAGTGAGAAGTCAGTAGATCACCATGGTTTTATACCCTAGTCTCAGTGAGAAGTCAGTAGGTCACCATGGTTTTACACCCTAGTCTCAGTGAGTAGTCCTTGGATCACCATGGTTTTAGACCCTAGTCTCAGTGAGACGTCAGTAAATCACCATGGTTTTAGACCCTAGTCTCAGTGAGTAGTCCTTGGATCACCATGGTTTTAGACCCTAGTCTCAGTGAGAAGTCAGTAGGTCACCATGGTTTTACACCCTAGTCTCAGTGAGTAGTCCTTGGATCACCATGGTTTTAGACCCTAATCTCAGTGAGAAGTCAGTAGATCACCATGGTTTTAGACCCTAGTCTCAGTGAGAAGTCAGTAGATCACCATGGTTTTATACCCTAGTCTCAGTGAGAAGTCAGTAGATCACCATGGTTTTAGACCCTAATCTCAGTGAGAAGTCCGTGGATCACCGTGGTTTTAGACCCTAGTCTCAGTGAGAAGTCAGTAGGTCACCATGGTTTTACACCCTAGTCTCAGTGAGAAGTCAGTGGATCACCATGGTTTTAGACCCTAATCTCAGTGAGAAGTCAGTAGGTCACCATGGTTTTAGACCCTAGTCTCAGTGAGAAGTCAGTAGGTCACCATGGTTTTAGACCCTAGTCTCAGTGAGAAGTCAGTAGATCACCATGGTTTTAGACCCTAGTCTCAGTGAGAAGTCAGTGGAAACTCGTTTGCTTGTAAATCGGTATATCTCGTAAATGTTAGTTTTTCACAATTTGTTGAGGTTGCTTAGGGACAAGGTTTCATGGGGGCTGTACTGCCAGTGCCTCTTGTTATTATCCGACATGCCACTGGTTTATATAATCAACATGTATTCCATGTCCATTGAAATTATCAGATTTACAAAATTTTCCAAAATCATTCAATTGTTTAAATGTTCATTTATTTTCCCTTTTTTGAAAATTTATTTCAATTCAGCACATACTTGTCATGCATTTCCATTGCCACACCAGTATAACAATGATTTTGCATGATTCAATGTTATCAATATAGAGGAGATTTATAATCATGTAGATACTTCGTTGTGATGATCAGAAATATTTCGTTTACTTCTACACCTACGTCATTTACTTTGTAATGAATACATGTTTTATTTCCTGCAAATTCTTACATTTTATGCTTTGATATGATTTTTAAACTCATAATTTTAATCTATTGATCTTTTAAATCAAAGTTAACAGCTTCAGAAGATTGGCTGTCTCTTACAAGAGACTGTCTGACGTCAGTATTTTCTTGTCGGTCCGTTGTTGTTTGTTTTTCAGTGTTTTCTTTCTGTAAGTTTGATGTTTTTAGAGTCTATTACATGTACATATATATCCGGGATGTACATATGTATGTGGTTTATGTTGATCGATAGCTCGTCTTAACAGGACCGTCCTACTACTTTGTCGCCGCAGTATTGTACTCTACTCATTGAAATCGGGGACAAACAGGAGCCCGAGTATCTGTCCCTTTGATTATTCAGGCTACACGCATCACTCTGCCTGCTGGCTTCATTACTTACTTTCGCCAAATATATATATCCTTCAGTGATGTAAAATGTAACTAAAAAAAACACATGAAAGAACAGGAAGTTTGTTGTTTGAACATATGAACATTTAATGGGACTGATAAAAATGAAATTTGTTCAAATTATAAATAAATCATGTCGGTCACAGGCAGACGAAACATTCATGAACACTGATTTGTCATGTTTACCAAAATAGTTTTACATAAAGGGCACGATTAAGTGCGCCTATGCAATCGTTTGAAGATTGTATACATACAGAATATTTCTGTACTTTTAAACAATTATCACATTTTGAAATAATTTGTCTATTTCGTTTGTCTGTTGACCGTTATTTCATGTAGATATAAACAATGGTAAAATGCTTTGTGTATTATATAATCATATGCCATCTATTTTGAGCATTTTCATAACTCACATAAAACAATAGTTAACTTAAAACATAAATTATATTTATATTTACACATGGCAAAAGTTTGTCAGTGGCTGACCGCGCATGCGCACAAAATCATTCACATATATTACACAGATATACCACTGAATTAATTGGTCCTGAGGCGGTTTAGAGAGTTCTGGGCATGCGTAGATGACATGGGAGTTAAACGTGATTTTAAGACACATCCAGGTGTTTTGGCAAAATGCTTAAACAATTGACTTGTGACCTTCAGGCGAAGTTTGAACAGTTCCAAAGCGCAAGCCTTGACAAACTTCTGTAAGAAATGAGACATAAAATGCCCGGGTCACAAAGTCACATGATCACGCTAACATTTTCGCCTTTTCAGCTGGCTAGCTCTCGCTGATCTGGCTGGTCATTTCTGAACCAATACCGGAAGTCACTTATATAAGAACTATGAGTAATTCGAAGCACGTTATGTGAGACATGACTGTTGATTCATGGGAGGTTGTGCGTACCAGGAGTGATAATGAGACATGGCTCCCGCTGGCATACCCGTAGACATGGCAGACATTGATGACATAGCCATATAAGAGTTCGTAGAGGTCTGATTGTTGACAGCGTCCATTTCTGTCCACGTTGGTTGTGGACTGACAGAGGACGAGGGAGGTGATAACATAACTGAGGAGGGCTGTCCATTGTGTGATTGTCCGTTTTGTTGGGACGCGGGGTGCGCGTGAGGTGTCGGCGTTTGCGGAGGATGTCGAGGCGCAGGAGGTGAAGACTGTTGAGGAGGGTGTGCTGTAGGGGATGTTGTCACTGGAGCCTGACCTTGAGGCTGACCGGAGGATGGGTTGACCTGTCCGGGGTTCACTGGAGACTTCATCACCTTCTTGTACTTTGAACGCCTGTTCTGGAACCAGATTTTCACCTGAAACACATAAAACAGAGAACATTAAAAATTGTTCTATAATAATCTTTTCTAAAATGATATGAGCACAGTGTTAATTCACTTCAATATTCGTATACCAATAAGCATTTCATATAAGAACAGCCAGGAAATAGTTTCCAATCGATAGAGCCAGACGGGATTGTTTTCATAAGTAAGACTGTAGCCTTTTTATGATGTCTTAACGTATGAAACGCATTGGGAATAAATAAATATACAGAATCGATAGAGATGGGAAGCCGAGAGCAGCAGTAAAACAAACTCATATCATTATACACTGTCCTTTCTGGACGACGATAATGAATCCTAATAGACGTATTAACATGGAAAGTTAAATGGTGTTATTTATAAAGTGCTGTATTCTGTGTGGCATGTACAAGTATATCATTCTTTATTAAACTAGATAACTTGTCACTTTCTGTATGAAATTTGATTTATTAAACAGTCTAAATTCTAATATCCACTTCATATCTTGACTAGTCCTGTAATTCGTTCTTACAACTCCTATAATAAAACTATCAGTCTCAATGTTTCTACAAAAAGACCATCAGGGAAGGAATGGTACCCGGGCTGACATATTTCACCTTTACAGGCTCTGTGATAGGCAATTGAATTTAAAGGTCTTTGTGTTGTTTGAATGTGACTCGGCTTGAGTACATTTCCTAAGCACGGGTATAAACCCTCTGTTACCAAGTATTGAGTAAACGCTTTAGAACCGTCCATGCTTGTGGTGACTGGTGAGGGAGTGGGCGTGTCCATCGAGACCTTACACAGATAGAACACTGTTTAGGACTCTCTGGGTACTCAAAGCAGAGATTGTACATTTCAGATTTAAAAATCGGAAGAGAGGATACGTAATTGTGTAGCATAGGTCTCTCATTTAGAAAAAAATAGAAAAGAATAATAACTAACAATCTTAAAAAGTCAGATTTTTTTCTTCTCGTTGAATAGGTAGGAAATTTTAAATGCAAAAATTATCACGGTTCTTTCGTGGTATTGTCAGTGTGTCACTATTTCTCTGAAGTATATATATATATACACGCAGCAGAAGAAGGTTATAGTTCTATACCTGAATTATCCAGTTATTCTACACAGATTCTATATTAAAATATTTGTTCGTGTTACAGTTATCTACATATTATATTTCATTGTGACACATGACAGCATTCGATATTGTAAAGATTTATTAAATGCCGATCTTCGGAAAGACCCAATAATATTAAAAATAACATTTACATTAACTTTTTGGGTTTTTTTTCAATAAAATCATTCGTTCTGGATGTTACTTTTGCGTTTAAAAAACAGGTATGTGTAACATGCTAAACAGACCGAAGATAAAAACAAAATATCTTGACCTAGGAGTACTTATGGTGATACAGTCATATAAGTTATACTATTGATAAAAGTAATTTTCGATCAGTTTCCTTTACGCCTATTTCACCAGGGTAACTTTTGCTTTTAGGGAAGAAGAAAGCGGTTGGTTTGAAAGAGGGGTAACGAGAAGGCCGTAGACTGTGTGTAGATGTTATCAGTACAGGCAGTCCTCTGAGACACTGATCACAGGTTTTATACAACTTTCCTCAAAGTTCAGAGCTGACAAATCTATCAGAGCGACGATCACATTCGCCCAAGTGCAGTGGAGTATGTGGCCATGGGTAGCCTAGGGCCGTATGTAGCCGTGTACGCCGAGCATATAAAATCATTGTGTGTGCCTTGTTAGGGTATTTTTGATAGAGGTTTAAGATTGTTTAGCTTAATATTAAAGAAAACACTACCAATTAATTATTTAATTGATTGTTTTCATGTGTTTGACATGTCATTTCATGATTGTAAACAAAGTCCAACTTCTGGGAAAATATCGATCACCTGAATGTTTGTAAACACTTTTGTTTTGACGTAACTTTGTGTCTACAGCAGTAAGCTTACTGCGTTGTTGTAGCTAGGTATTCGAAATGTCTTAAAATGTCTTGCCATGAGAACCACGTCGTAAATAAACTATATGTACCCCTTCTTTAATCTCAGTTGTCGTTGGTATGCTTTTCTCTCGCCATATACACTGTGTGGCTTCTAGAAATGGATTTTTACTTTCTGATAATGTACCCGACATAAACAAAACTTTGGATACAGAATGAAGGTCGAAAATACCAATATAAATTATATCAACAGAGTTTAAATATTTATATTGGGAAAAATAGCATTCGTATGTTCGTGAATATTAACTACAGCATCAACGTATTCCAGTGAGGTTTATAAGCGTCACGTCATAGCGGCTATATTACGTTAAACATGTTAAAGGCCTCTTCTGAAGTGGATGTGTAGCGACCTAGACCGGGGCTACCCTTATATTAGCCTTACAGACCCGACACTTCAACAAAATGGGCACCCTACACTCTGTTTGCATTGTCACGTTGTCTATGGACAAATGTGTTTCTCTCGACTAAGATATATAATTATGTAGCCAATCTTATCCGAGAGATGCAAGTACTAGTGCGTGGTAAACACACTTATTAATGAAAAATTAAAATGAGGAGATAGTAAGCGATCATTGACTAGCCCGATAAAACGGTAGTTAGACCCATTCAAACCTACCCTGGATAAGTGTTCTTTAGCAAGGTTTGCCTAATCGTCATGTCAATATCAGCACACATTTTAATATGTGGTTGTATTAATCTCGTTTGTTGAAGAAGGTCATTTTACGCTGGTTTCGGCAATTTTTCAATTTGATTCGCCAGGCATCCAATTAGCAATGGAGAGCCCCACTTGCTCTTTTTATGTGTGAAACTGATACACTTAATTCTAGACTTTAGCTGGTAATAAGAAACAATTTGACGAGCATTCTTATACATCCTATACAAGTCGGGTCTCTGTGTGGATAAGAACTATTGCGGCAACTTGTGGTCGGCATTGAAGACGTATTAAAGCAACACATGAGGAGTAATATGGCTGTATACCTATCGTGATATTTCTCTTGTTCATCAATTAGAAGCAGCTTGATTAACAATCTTGTGCTTTTGGAATATCGTGCATTTTATAGTGATCGCGAACAAACAAAAGACAAATTCAACTCTTGGTGGCTACATCCAAGCCAAGAATATGACTGTCAAACATCCTTTACGCATACCAACCCCTAAAGTTACTTCTCTTGAGGAGTGTAAGAAAGCTTAAAATGGAAGACCGGTTACAGATTCTAAAAGAAGTATTCTTAGCAAGCTGTATGCAATATAGCATCTATGAAGATATCAAGTACATTCAAGGGAAGATGTTGGTGGAGGTTTGGCTGTCTGGGGTTTGTGTGTGGTTTTAAGCTAGGAGAGTCGTTACATTGTAGACAATGGACTATGCCCAGTCACAAAGGAAAGGCTACAATTACACGTTACAATGTTCATCAGCGCTAACGGGACGGAGCAGACGATATTATTTTAGGGTCGTCACGTGGCGCTAGGACTCTGCGTGGGCTCGAGGCGAACGAAGACGACATCTATGGAGGGGGGAGGGACCGAACGGCTTCCTGCCTCAAAACTCAATGACAACGACCCCGCCCCGACGTCAGAGCACGAGAGGCGCCCTTGGGAAATTTAATTGTTCCATTTCACAATGAATGAGCTTTGCAAAGTATACGGATACCATCAAATGAGCAGAATACTTTTTCACAAGGGAAGACATTGTAGAAATAGTAAAACTTTGTTGATAGTGTCATGTACTCTGAAGTGTATAGAGACGATGTGAAAGTCTTTGTAACTCGGAAAACTTTGATTCTACTGTGCTGTTTTTGAAAGTTTACGTGAGAGGGACGTCGTGAACTGTTCATTTTTAACAAGTCAGCACTGCTAGAATATAGAAGCCCGCCAGACCGGCGCCACAATTCGTGGAGTCGGAGCGTCCCATTTTACAATGTTGAGTATTACCTTGATATAAACGGAGAAAGGTGATATCTACCAATGTAACAGATATATATATGTAGCGGATATGCTTGTAACAATGTTTCCCAACTCAACAATACCTAGATAAGGAAAGCTCTTAATCTCCTCCAGTGATTTAGTAATGAACCCAACGATCCTGTTAATGTTGTGTATCTATCGAGTGATGATTAAATACAACGGATCATGTTAACACTAGGTGTCCGCACCGAGTTGATGAACAGATAGCTTAACAATTAAAACACTCGTGCCACAGACTAACTAATCATTTCATTGTAAACATGTTTAAGTGTGTAAACGTTACACCAAATCAAACATGGCCGTCGTTTATAGGCACTGTAAGGAATCGATCTAAATCTATTTACCATTAACATGGTCAAATGAAGCGAAGAATGCACATTCAATAGTTTGTACAAATGTTTATTGCATTTAAATAAAAGAATATTTATTATTATAAAATAGTGTTTAAAAATATTTTTATGAATCAAATAAAAATTATATCAATTGATTGGTAAGTGTGGTTAAAATGTGACTAAATAAGGAATTTTTAAAAATAATTTTTCTACGACAGAGATTGCGGGTCTTTATCATTACACTTTACACAAAGTGTTTGACACACGAATATATGGAAATGAATCTGTTTTGTACCCGGTTGCCTCGTTATCGTTGAGTACTTTAAAAATGAGAGATACCTCGTCTAATTTGACTGATACTATCTACAGATATGTCAGATAGAACTCCATAGGTTACGTGGGGTCGTACGACCAAACATTTTCATATCCCAAATAAGTTTTTTTCTTGGTGCATTGAGAGAATTATAAGACGAAATTCACCCCGGGCTTTTAATTTCACTTAATGTATTGGAAAAGAACCCCGGCGTCCAGGTTCATGTATTGAGAGTAACGCTGATTGCATCAGAGTCGTTAAAACGTTTTAACGTAAGGTGCCGATATATAAAGAAAACTTGAAGATATTTGAGAAGGTTGAAGAAGGATATGAAAACGTGAAAAATTCTACAATATCTTGATTCTAAGCGAGATGTTGCAGGTGTGCGTCTTAAATGTT